GACCTCAGTAAATGTTTGTATCCTAGTATTTTTAAAGCTGAGATCTCCTATCCACCTTGCTCTAAAAAAGGAGGACCTAGCACTCCTGAAATTCCTCACCCAGACATCAGAGGGCGATATTGCCAACCATGTTCCCTCAGCTGCTGACTGATTCCTATGATGGCCTTCCAGCTCCCAAGCTGGGAGTGGAGGGAAGCTGCATTATGTCTACACTCCTGTGCGACTGTGAGCTCATATCCTCTCTGTCTCTCTCCAGGCGCAATCCCGAGGGGGCAAGTGTGTGCCTGTGGTGTGTGATTCAGGCCAGGAGAGTGAAGTGCGAAACCTATTTGAGAAGGTTGATCGAGAACAGAACGGACGTTTGGATGTGCTGGTCAACAATGCCTATGCTGGGGTTCAGGTACTCTTTAAACTTTGATCCCAACTCCGCACTCATGACCTCCTACTGTGACCCCTGAGTTTTTATCCCCACTAATTGTCCTTCCATGATCCTGCCCCTCAGACCTTCCTGCCTCAGGCCATCCAATTCATCACTCTCCCTGTGCTTTCTAGACAATCATAGACAACCGTAAGAAGGCATTCTGGGAAAGCCCTGCCTCCATGTGGGATGATATCAACAATGTTGGACTCAGGTAGGTGTTCCCCTTATCCCACTGCAAGGACCTGGGCTCCCCTCACCCACTTAGCCAGGCTGACGGCCCAGATCTTTCTCCATATGCCCTTTCCTTTTCCCTCTGACCTCCCATCTCTTTCTTCTCCCTCTTGTCCCATCTATCCCACTCACCTCTGGAGAAGTTCCATCCAAGTGAATCTGTACCTGGGAATGTCAACTTTTGTCTTGTTTTTGTCAGTAATTTTCATCTGACCGTGCCCTTTGCTTCTCTCCTGCCTCACTCTCTGCCCATCCAAATGCATGACCCAGAAGGGAACTTGCTTCCCTCAATAATGCACACCACCCGTAGCCAATATTTCCAAAAAAATTAGAGGAAGAAATTGTTTTGTTTTATCAGTCCTCACCTGAAGATATTTTTTTCCATTGATTTTTTTAGAAAGAGTAGAGGGAGGAAGAGACAGAGAAATATCGATTTGAGAGAGACACTTCAATTGGTTGCCTCCCGCACACGCCCCGACTGGGGCCAGGGATCAAGCCTGCAACCGAAGCACATGCCCTTGACCAGAATCGAACCTGAGACTCTTCAGTCATCAGGCTGATGCTGTAACCACTGAGCCAAACCAGCTAGGGCAGAAATTGTTTTGTTTTAGATCAAAAGAAAGTCAATAAGAAAGAGTGACTGTCAGTCTTCCTAGCCCCCAGATCCTCACTCCAGACCCACAGGCAAGGGCACTCCCAGGTCAGAGTTGGGAGGGCAGGGGTGTCATGGGTCACATGTACATGTGGTACGGGAGTGAGATGAAACACAGCATTTAGTTTGCTTGACATGATATACACCAGTCATGTCTGTGTTTATTATTTTTAGAACTATGATAGTCTCATAAACTACACTCCCTGAACATGACCTGTGGGAATAACTTAAGATATTATCTGAAAATCTGAGACTAAAGTGTTTAAGAACACCCATGGTTTCTAGTGGCAATCCCAAGGAAGCAGAATGAGAATCCAATCGTGATTTCCAAAGTAGAAGAAAGATTAGGAGGACAGCGAGGGATGGTTAGCCAAGAAGCAAGAAAAGAAAACCCAAACAGCTGGAAACAGGCAACACCCACATCCTTAGTCCTCCAAACAGGGGCCTTTCACCTCCTGTCTTGCTGACCAGGGTTTTCAGCCTACAAGGCAAAGGCCAGCCCTGATGAATTCTCCAAGATAAAGATCGCTTCGTGAGCCTCTTGAAGGCCCACCACCATCTCCTCTCACCTCCCAACACACATTCACATACATATTTACTGCCTTTGCTCTGCATTACCTTAGGCTGGGCCTCCTTTCAACCATAGGTCTCTCTACTTGTTTTCATTTGGAAGTTCAAGTTTCCCATGCAAAAGATTTTTTTTTTTTTTTGGTTACCAAGTTAGTGTATATTATTTTTTAAAATTTTGAGGAAAAAAGTGAAAACCAGTATTATCTTACTCTGTCATCACCACCTTCCTCCCTTGACTGAGTTATAGCTACTGTTGATAATCTAGTGTTCTACCATACTTTTAAATATTTGACTCAGAGTACGTATCATAATTTATTTACCTAGCCCTTTATCTATTGCAGTAGTAGAATTCTTGGAAAAAATATGTACTTCTTAAAGATTTAATAAACATTATCAAACTGTCCTCAAAAAAACCCCACCAATTTATAAACTCATGACAATGGAGGAGGGTATCTTTTCTATGCCCTCTACCATGCTAAACAATCAGGTCACTCAGTCATGCAAGCTTTGCCACGCTGATAGGCCAAAGATACCATAAGGTGGGGATTTTGTTGTTGTTGTTGTTGTTTTATTGATTTCAGAGAGGAAGAGAGAGGGCAAGAGAGAGAGAAACATTGATTGGCTGTCTCCTGCACATCCCACACTAGGGATGAGCCTGTAACCTGGGCATGTGCCCTAACCAGGAATTGAACCCTGACCTCCTGGTTCATAGGTCAGTGCTCAACCACTGAGCCACACCGGCCAGGCTAAGGTGGTTTTAATTCATATTTTTTTTTATTTGTGAAGCTGAGCTTTTTTTTTAAACTTTAATGTTTTTATTTTTTATTGATTTCAGAGTGGAATGGAAAGAGTGAGAGAGATAGAAACATCAGTGATGAGAGAGAATCGGCTGTCTCCTGCATGCCCCCTACTGGGGAATTAAGCCTGAAATCAGGCATGTGCCCTTGAACAGAATCGAACCCAGGACCCTTCAGTCCACAAGCTGATGCTCTATCCACTGAGCGAAACTGGCTAGAGCAAGTTGAGATTTTTATCCATTTATTTATTGGCTCTTTATTCTTTCTTTATAGTCCTTTGGTTTATTTTCTGGGATTAAAAAAAAAGTATAGGCATAAATGTTTTTACATGATCCTCTTGAAGGTATCCTCTATGTAGGTTTTATTTTGTTTTGTAAGAGGACATTTATTTGGTAAATTACAGAGGTAGAAAAAGTAGTTCCTAGAAGAAATGGGCTTAGGAAACAAGTTATGGAGGTAAAGGAAGGGTCCTTGGAGCTTGCGAGTGAGAAAGCTATGGCAACATGCCTGGGGAGGGGTGCAGGGGGAGAAGGGGAAGGGAAAAGGCACAGGCTCGGGCATGCTCCTGGGACGAGAGCTTTGAAGACACCCTTTAAAATAATTTATAAAATGGCTT